AAGCTTTAAGTCAACGATAACAAACAGCTGACCTGATATGAATGTTGAGATTACATGTGGCTGGTAAAGTGGCTATGGTATGGGTCCTGTAGAAAACAGGCAGCTCTGTATGTAAATAGTCTCACAATGTGTTTGTATGAGTGAGTAAACTAAAGATACTTAGACAACATTCATTTTGTATTTCCCAACCCTAGATTGCTTTATGAGATAGATGTGAAGAATTGTGCATTGGGGTGTGTATATTCAGCCACACATTGTGGCTGAAGTAGGTCTTTGTAAGCTTTCATATAATCAAATTTTGTTTTGCTTTCTTGTAGTCATATTAGAGTTTTTGTAATGTCATGCTTACTTCTTCCTTTAGGATATTGATGTCTTTGCCTGAGGCTTCAACTTGAGATATGTTTTCCATCAGAGCATCCAGTTTAGCTTGGTTCTTACACAGTTCATTTGCCCTTGGGCATTTTGGTTTATCTTAGAAATAAGGTAGGTAGTAGTCCAGGAGCAAAGTAACGAAGCATGCAAGCTCAGCTACCACAGTAACAAGAGCTAGAACTGACCTGATACCAGCAGCACATATTTTCATCCATGCATTTTAATGCCTTCACGTTTGATTATGTTACTCAGAAGAGAAACTAACTAGCTGCCTCTTGACTTTTTTACCCTTCCTTTACACTTTTCTGTAAGATGGAAGCCACATCTGTCATTTGATGTGCACTTCTAAGAGAGAAAACTTTCCAAGATGTGAAATCCACAGATTCATCAAAAACAAAACCCAACCATTTTGTTTATCTGAGTCTTGTCAGCTGTTGAACAGGAATATCAAGCCCAAATGATGATCAGTTTTTATTAATATTAGTAAGTTCATAAAGGAGTAATCTAGCGAGATGATGAGGTGATCCAGTAGATATAAATCAGAAGAACCGCGCACCCTCTCCTCTATTGAACATCAAACTATGGCGTTGGAGTATGGGGGTGTTAGGTACTGAATGGGCTAATTACCCTGAAAGTTTTGCAAAATGAATTCAGGCTTCGCTGCATGACATTTTTTGGAGTGAGTGTGGGCTTCAAGCAGCAGAAGCTAACATCATTCCTGGGTGTCAGGAAACACCAGAGGTGCACCTTGCTTGCCTGTAGCTACCGATGCTGCAAAGATAAATGTTGATTCTGAGTCAGAATCAACTTTGTGATCTCCCTAGCTGGTTTTACCTGATGCTTTTTTTCTTTTTTTTTCTTTTTTTTTTTTTTTTTTTAAGGAGCAGGGAATGGCAAATACAAGTCAGATTTAATTTTTTCTTCTTTTTTTTAATAAAATCTTTTTTTTTTTAATAAAGAATAGCTACAAATCCATGTTTATTCAGACTCAGTGAAAATAAACATTTTCCTTACCCACCAATACCAAAATTCCGAAATTCCTTCTCCCGAACTACATCCTCTCCACCCTGTTTTGAGTCAAACTCAGGACAGCTTCTCTTCATTTTCATCTGCTGCACACAGAGTCTGCTAGTAATTTTTTTTCTGTTTTGTTCGGTTAAGTCTTGCTCAGGTCTTGTCATATGGTCAGCAGCCTTTCTGGTTTTTGGTTATCTCTGCATAAAAGTGGCTTAATTACTTACTGATTTTTTTTTTACGTAGTCTTTGACACTTTATTAAGTGATTTACTAAGTAGATATACTGAACATATGGTGTGTTTTGCATGCATGTAAACTTTGATTGGGTATATCCTAGGATGTTGAGTGTCTGCCACAAATATTCTCTATGCGAGTTCATCTTGCAGTGTTAAGAATGCACAGTACTGTGATATTGCCTTGAGTCTTTGCACTGGTAATGCTTAGAATCCATTTCCCTTTTTGTAACAATTGTTTTTTTCACAATCATCCGTTCCCTTCATGTCCTAGTATCAGCTGAACAGTCATTGGCTCTGCCTGCCTGTTCCAAAATGTGTTAATTTGGATTGCTGGGTTTACCTTTATAATCTTGTCAAAATAGCAGTTTGAGCATAAAAATGGCACAACTACTAGCTGACTTCAAGGTTTATTTTTCAGGCTAGCTGGGTTATATATTGTACCTGCAAGCGTTCATTCATTTGAGGTGTGTAAGAATGCATGCATTTTAGTGGGCTGTCAGAAGCTTTATTCACAGTTGTGGTGGAGCCTTGGGATTGAGCATCTGAAACAAATGTAATTGCTACTTATACTGCAGAAACAAATACAGGTTTAGGGGGTTCTTTTGTTGAGCATCTGGGAAATAACCAGGAGAGTGAAATCAATGATACAGCTTGACTTACTGTAGTTCAACATACATGGCATGTTAGTACTAAGACAGAATCTTGCCAGAAGACACAGATGAATGGATTCATTTCAAATGAGTAGAAACTTCCGTTAAATGTAGGGTTTTTTTCCTAACATTAATACATGAAATTGTCATATCTCTTTCTTTTCTTTCTTTCTTTTTTTTATCTCCCCCCCCGCCCCCCGTGTGTTGTATATTCTGTGGATTTTTGGAATGTCTCCTGGCTAACATGCTGGCTTTACCCACAAACATTTAAAGAAATATTAAACATATGCAGCAAATTGTTGCAGTTTTAAAGTGGGGGTGAGAGGGACATTTTTTTCTTGTTTCTTTATTACAAGGACAAAGGGAATTAAAAACCCTCAGTTTACTTATCTACATGAGTTTATCATGCTCAGAGGACTATGTGGCACAAGAAATGCTGAGTGCCAGGGTAACTGTTATTTACAAAGGCAGCCATGGATCACCCAACCTGCAAAGCTGACGAGAAGAAGGCACCACCCTTCCTATGAGGTTCAGCTGTAAACAACTGGAAGCAGTAATGTCCTGAACTGTTGCCACCTAATAAACAGATCTGTCTATGCTCTGAAGCAGCTCCCCTAAGACCTCTGTCATATATGTCTCTGTATTTTCTTTACAGATACATGTTTTTACACATCTACTCTGTTGGTTATGTTATTGATTACAACATGATGCTATTGTTCATAAGGATTTATTCTTCTAAATAAACAGAACTGAATGAATAATCTCTCACATTTTACCTAATCTATATCCTTACAAAGTGGACTTCTCCCTTCCTTCTTACCAGATCTCCAGGCAGTAAGCATGTTCTTTTTTTCCCCTCATTTTTGAAAACTTAAAAGGGTGTTTGGACCAGATGACGTCCGGAGTTCCCTGACAACCTCAGCTGTTCTGCAATTCTGTTATCAATATATGGATAAATAGCATTAAAATTTCTAGCAGCTGATGTGAAGAATGTCTGTAATCTGCTTTGAAAGCTTCAACTGTAGCTTTTCTTCATAGGGTAACATGTAGGTAGAGACATGATTTAGCTTTAGGTTTCCTTTGGAGACGTAATTCATGGCATTTCACTGATGAAGTCAGAATTTTGTAACAAACAGAGAAATAGCATATTCATAAGAATATTGAAGAAGCCTCTAGGTGTCTGAACATCTTATGTGTTTTGAAAACAACACTGTAGTAGTGACTAAAATGTGAGAATTACGAAGGAGACCTGAAATAAAAGGTTGCAGATATATTGTTTCAGCTTACAGATTTATTGCAGAGGATGGCTAGTACTGGAGAACTGCTTGGTTAGAGTTTTACCCTAATATTTCAATGCACAGTTCTAAGCTTATTTTAGGATTTAGGACAACTAATTATATACCAGTCAATTTCAGATCATTATTGCAGTATCAGAATTGTTCTCAAGTGTCCATTGAGCCTGTCCTTGTGAAACAAAGAGTTTTTTTATTCCCTTTTTTCCCCCCTGTTTCTGAAACAAAGTATTCTTATTCCCATTTTACAAGTGGGAAATGAAAGCAAGGAATGATTTCATATTGGGAGTATTTGCAAATTTGGGCATACATCTAGAACCTGATGTCTCTTTTCCCACACGTTTTTATTCCACTGTATCTGGCTTTATATACAACTTCACTTTAAGAGCATTGACTTCAGCTGCAGCTGTAATGCTCAGTGCTCCTGCAAGTCAAATCCAAAGATCGTAACAGACGACCAGAAAATGAGGAATATTAAATAATGGCCAAATGTGAAATAACACTGAAGGAACCTATTAGCAGTCCTGTGATGTCAGATGCAGAATCACTCACTCCAGTTAGCTAGGCATGCAACAGTGGTAGAAAGAGCCTCTGGAAGGGAAATAAGTTTTAAATAAGGGAAATAAGCTTTGAATAGTCATGAAAATGTTTGTAGCTTTCTTAGAGGAAAGAAGTAATCACTCCATATTGCACATCAATGTCAGAGAAACTTTGGGATTGTTTTTGTATCACTTTGTTTCCCCTTTTTCAGATTTCCATAAGGCATAGCTATTCCTAAACGGAAGACACTGAAGCCTTACACCTGGTGGTGTATATTTTTCTTCTTTTTTGCATGATTTGTGTAAAATTAACTGGGAGTTTGGGATGTTTTTTTTGTTTGTTTGTTTAGTTCTCTTGTGTCTACAGGTAGTGGTGAAATCTCAAGTGTACTGAGACGAAATAAATGCTTTTTATTTTTATAGTCTTATTGTCTTATTTTTCCTGAAGTCCCTCATATTAGTGCTCTTCAAAAGAAAACTTCAGTCTGATGTCAAAATAATTGAAGTAGTGACTTTTAATTTCAGTACTTGTCACAGGCAAAAAGTGCACTTCTTATAAACGGTTCACTTTTCATTGCTTTTCTTCTTGATAAGGCAGTGAAGTGAGTGTGGTATCGGAGTATTTAGTACTGTTATGTAAAAGCATGACAATGACCAAAATAGAGCTGACACAGAGTGGCTTTCTAGACAGAGAGAATGGGGTACAGTCAGATATTCTGATTAGCATAAGAACACAATTTGAAGAACACTTGAAGGTTTATTAACATAAATATATCCTTATTTGAGAGTCTGCTGGGGATGGTACTGAAAGTTTTCTTTTTAATAATCCTATGATAATGATAATAACTCACAGAGATAAGTTGTTGTCACTGTCCTTTGATTTTTATTCTCACAGCCCACATACTGGGTGGCAGTATTACCAGCCTGGTGTGCCCCGGATTCCCACTGCGTGCATCTCTGTGGAAGATGCTGAAATGATGTCACGAATGTCTCTCCGGGGCATTAAGATCATTGTGCACCTGAAGATGGGGGCTAAGACCTATCCAGATGCTCCTTCTTTTAACACTGTGGCAGAGATAGTTGGAAGCAAGTACCCAGAGCAGGTGAGTGAGAATATATCAAAAGAAATTTATTTTGCTCTTTAAAAATATAGAAAAAACCCCCACAAACCCTCAAAGAAATCCCTGTCCTAAGAAATCCCCCAAACTGGTAACTTCTATTCACCTACTCTTCTACATCTCAGACATCTTCAGCTCTTCAGTCTTTTTCAGGTAGCGGGTTTGAAACAACAGGCTCAGTTCTAACATACCAAGATACATGTAAGAATTACTGTGATCTAAGAACAGGAAATTCAATTAAACTGTACTCAATTCAGCTTCCTCCTTTTTGTTTCACTGGCTTAAAGTTCGTTTTAAATAGTACCATCTGCATAATCATACAAAGAAGCATGTATGTAAGCAGCAGTGAAATCCTAGCACTGTAATGAATACAGTTACTGCTTTAATTAACAAGTAGTAAGTAAGGTTGCCATAATGATTTGTGCTTGGGGTTGCCTATTGTTCTGTTAATAATCTTCAAGTGTTTTTTTGACCAGGCAAAAAAGCAAGGTTCTGTGGTCCAGAAACAAAATTGTTTGTCTGAGTTTTTTCTCTAATGTAAAAGTGAACGCAGGATGTCAGTTTACCTTTTCTGAAGATGTTTTTATTTTGTGCAAATCATTGCTGTGTTTAGCAGGAGTTGTGTGTGTGTCAGTTTGGAGGAATAAACCATCTCTGATCTGCTCTAAAAAGTGTCTGCAAATTCTGTTTGAATACTAGGTAAGCCTGAATTGTTGGTTTCCATTTTAAGACTTTTCTTCTTGTTTTCTATTTTCTCACAACTTCTTAGCCAAAAATCATACAAACTAAATTAATGGTGCTGAAGGATTTGTGTCTGGTATGAGGTCTTCTGTGTCAGCTTACAACATGGAATGATTTTTCTGGCAGTATGGTTTATTGTGAAACTGCTGATGCCACTTCAGTTACAGCAGCACTGGAACTGTTGCTAGAGTACATCTACTGAGCCACAATTCTTTCTTAAACACTGTGGTTTTCTGACTTTAATGGAAAATAAGAGTGGCTGTCTCTGTCCTTTAAACCAGGCATAGTTCTTAACTACCATCTCAGAAAAGATGATAAATCTTTTCTGTAGCTCTGGCTTGTGGTGTCTGGAGAACCTCAGTGTTCACATGCATATACGGTTTCAGAAGCATTATCACTGGCCAGAGGAAAAGTAGATACCCTTATGGTTGATGGTTTATATACTATCAGCTATGAGTCTAGCATCATGAAATGCATATTTACCAAGTTGAAGATGATGCTCAAACTTCTAAATTAAGGTACAATTAATTTAATTTTATATCATCTGAATTTTTATCCATGCCTCTAGCCAGGTAATAGGCTACCTTTCCTGAATTATGTTTGGTGTATTTCAGAGTAAGATATTTCAGTTCAGGTTATGAAGTGTCCAAATGCAACTTTCAGAGATGTCTTAAGGTGCTTGCCTGCATTTGATTTTCTCTTTATTGGCCTGCTCTGTTTCTTTAAGTAATGAAATGGGTTGGGATCTCTTTGCTTCTTCAGAGAAACTCAGTTTTTTGAAACACTGGGTAAAGACTTATTTACAAGCCCCCTGCTGATGTTAATGGGAGTGGTAGTGGACACACTTTGAAAATGTAACCAAGAAACAGAAAAATAAAACAAGTGAATGTTTAGGTTTTTTAGCACTCAGTTCCTCTCAGAGCCTCAATAGGTTCTTCATCACACTCATTCTACTGTGTTACTCTGGTAAAAACGGGAACCATCTAGCTATTTAGGCAATAAAATACATTGTGGACCCAAACTCTTACAATGTCTTTTATGCCAAAGTATTTCAAAATGCAGTACAAATCCGGGGGAATAGAAAGGTGCCATTTCCACGGGCCAAAATTCCAGTGTAAGTTTTGAATTGGAAACAAAAGCAAATCTGGATCTCTGAACTCTGGGTGAAAAATCAGCAGCGGGTGGTATCACTCTTAGAAAGGTCAAAAGCGAAACAGCTTGAAACTAGGCTGAAGCCTGGGAAAGGTAACTGGTCACAGGTATTGCAGCAAATTATACCTTAAAAAAATGGAACTTAATTGAAAACAAGGGTCACTGTAGGATACTGAGGAAGTCTGGTGAGAAGTGATAGGGTTTTAGGATGTAACTGCATTTTCTGCATGTTTGTGTTCATCTATATATTGACCAGAATTTAATACACTGCTTGGTTGCTAAATAATTCATTAATTCCTCCTGTAAGATTTTAGCATGTTTATTAAATATTATCACCAAGAACTGAAATAGTATTTGTTTGAATTTTTTTTCTACTGTAATCAATGTTGAATATTATTATTAAAATCCTTTAAAGAAGAAAACGATGTATTGATTTTTGTTACCTGTTTGCCTGTTTGGGTTTGTTGGTTTGTTGGTTGAGGTTTTTGGGGGGGTTGTTTTTTGTTTTTTTTTTTTCTTTATTTGACCACTCTTGTAGCATGTCTGGTTCAGTTCCTACTTTTTAAGTAATTTTCCCAAGAGTTTTCTGGGGGTTCTTGCACATAGCAATGGAAAGAAAAAAATAAAACCAAAGCAGCCTAAAGAAATGTTAAAGAAACCAGAAAAAAAAGAAGTAGTTTGCATACTTCTGAGATATTTTCCTAAATATTTGCTGTATTGTAGGCTTAGTGTTCTTAAACTCTTGTAATACTTGCTTTGTTTTGCTCTTGCAAGATATATTTGATATCATCAAAATTTATACTCAGAATTGTCAAACTTCCAAACTTTTGATTAGGCACCTATGCTTAACTTCAAGACATTTACATTTCTGAATAACTTTAAGCAGCAGAAGAAATGTCATTACTGCTTTGTGAAGCATCAAGCCCTCAGGGATGTCAGGGATGTATCCATCTAGCAATGATGTGAAATGGGTACAGATGTTCTGTTGCTGTTTGAGGCAACTCTGTACTCAAGGCACGCAGGTGCTTTTGAAAAGTTAATCCACTGATACTTCAGCTGTCTGTTCTACTTTATCCTTCTCTTTGGCCAGGCAGTATCAGTAAGCCAGTCCTTTAACATTGATAGCTTCAACTAGGAAAAATGCACTTTGAAACCTACTCTAAGTTGCAACTTTGCAATCCCAAGTATTCAGATGCTGTAGAAGGCATCTGAACTAAAAAAAGAAAATGGATTTTGTCATGCTGTCAGTAAAGTTCAGTCTCACCAATGTCTCTGTTATGTTTATCTTTGTGTTATTCCTTGTAAGTTAGGGAAGGGCTGTTCTCTCCAGACAGAACTCTTGCTAATGTCAGAGTGGGCATGATTGCTTGTTCTAAGAAGAGACATCCACCATGCTGTCAGTCCCAAAGTCCTCACTTAGTGCCTGCTGAGGCCTGAGTATCTGTAGGTATCCAAATGAGGAGAGCCTGTGCCTATAAGATAATGAGTTCACGATCAAGCTTTTCTTCATATAAACACATGGAAAGCAGTGGGACCAAACATGCCATGACTTGATACCCTGGCAGCCTCTCTGGGCCTGGGATCCCATTCTCATGGTGCTTATGACAGCAGTGAGAGTGGAAAACCTGTGGGTTGTGGGACTTAACATATTTAAGCCTGTATGATTGCTGCCAGTTGAGTCGAAGGGTGATTCCAGCATTACCCTGGGCAGCCTGTTCCAATACCTGATCACCCTCTTGGTGAAGACGTTTTTCCTAATATCCAGTGTAAATCTCCCCTGGGGCAGCTTGAGACCATTTCCTCTTGTCCTATCACTTGTTAGTTACTTACTTGTTACTTGTTACGTCCAACCTGGTCTTGAACACTGCCAGGGATGGAGCATTCACAACCTCCCTGGGCAACCCATTCCAGTGCCTCACCACCCTAACAGGAAAGAATTTCCTCCTTATATCCAATCTAAACTTCCCCTGTTTAAGTTTTAACCCATTACCCCTTGTCCTATCACTACAGTCCCTAATGAAGAGTCCATCCCCAGCATCCCTATATGCCCCCTTCAGATACTGGAAGGCTGCTATGAGGTCTCCACGCAGCCTTCTCTTCTCCAGGCTGAACAGCCCCAACTTTCTCAGCCGATCTTCATACGGGAGGTGCTCCAGTCCCCTGATCATCCTCGTGGCCCTACCTGGGTAAAGAGACCAGCCATCTCCTCATTCCACCTTCCTTTCATGTAGTTGTAGAGAGTGATAAGGTCCTCCATGAGCCTTCTCTTCTCCAGGCTAAACAACCCTAGTTCCCTCAAAAAGGGAACTGTTTCTCCTAAGGCTTGTGCTCCAGGCCCTTCACCAGATTCGTTGCCCTTCTCTGGACCCACTTCAGTGGGTCCACTGTGCTGGTGAGATGTTTTATTTAAACTATGTAAGTTGACACTGGGGACTGACTGACTGAGAAATTTACAAGTTAACTAATGTGGTTTTCATTTGAAATTCAGGCAGAGCTGGCAGTAAGACATGTTTGTATTCTCATTTTAATACAGATGTAACATGCTTCGGTCTTAAAGTGCAGAAGCAACAGTTCCCATCTCTGGGGAAATGCTGTAAATAGCAGCTGCTTGTTGTTATTTCAGCTTCAATGCACCTAATGTGCCAAACACAGAACCACAAAATACCTGAATAACTGAAAAGGTATCAAAGTGGATAAAGATACAACTCTCCTATATCCTGACTTTCAGTGTCTTTCTGTACCGCATATTTCTTGGTGTGCAGTGCTGTTTCACTTACCTTACAGCTGCTAAATGAAGGGAAAACTGTTTCCTAAGTTCCCTACAAAGCACACGAATTTAATGGTTGCTTATTATTCTGTGATCTAGCATAAATACTGTAGAATGGAAACAGAGTTGCTCCTGAGTGGGTTTTTTTGGAATCCTGAAGAGCTGTTTCACTCTACACAGCTGATTTGCCTCCTGTTTTTATGGAATGCCATATCTACAAAATGTACTATTTGAAAAGTGACTCTATTTTGAACACCACAGGCATAAAAGACCATTGAAGAATATACTGTATCTCTGAGCCAAGTTTGGACAGCACTTTGAAAGT